GTGTTTTGTAAGAATAACTGATTGATATTATTTAATTATATTGATAGTAGACCAAAATATTTTCAAGAGGCAGTGAACACAATAAAAGTAGGTGGAGGGATATAAATTCAAATCTCAAGTGTGTATTAAAACAATTAAATTTAATTACAGATTTTGTGTTTTTTTTTTTTTTTAGGGTACAATTTACAGATTGTTTTTTAAAATAGATTTGCTGAGTGAGGAAATAAGACGATGACCTTCGAACAGAAAAAGAAAAGTGCGAGTGAAGGTTTCAAATGGCGAATCAATCATCTTCTCTTCTTCTGCGATGCGCTTCCTTCAATCAAGACAACAGGTTTCCGCATCCAAATACCATTCAATAAACAGATCGAATATGGTTTTTCCTGTGTTCCTTTGATTATTATTATTTTTTTCCTTAATTTTTCTTTTTCCAGCTGCTTTGCAATCGGAACGAGAGATGGATTCAAGATTTTTGACTGCGACACAGGAAGGCTTCTCTACGAACGCGGTATTTCAATTGTCAAATTGGTTCGAAAAAATTATTTTGCAGTTATAATTTGGAACTTTTATGTTACTTTTGTGCTCTCTTGGTGTTAATAGGTTTTAGAAAGTGAACAGTTTACAGCCACCATGTGATCTGCAGTGCTGTCACTTGGCTATACTTTTGTGGTCCTAATTTGTATGAATGATTCGAATATCCAAACATGTATCGATTGCGGTTACTAAAAGGATCGAGTAGTTAAGGGTACTGAATCAAGTGTTGCTCTACTTGGATATCCTTTACCAGAAAATATTGATGCAGCCTAGCGTGAACTTCACTTATTTATTTATTTTTTTCGGCTCAAATGTCTCCAGAACAAATATTTAGTCATTTGTACTTTTGAAATGGAAATATGTATAATTGTGTGTCGATTTTGAGTATGAACATAATATTAGGAAATATTTTACGGGATGCAGCTTTACTTATCGGCTACCTACCTGTAAATATGTGCTCAGGGTAAGTTGCTACTGACAGAGTAATTGTTCCTGTTAAACTGATACATCAATTAAGCTGTAAAATGATTCAAGTTTATATACCCTGAAATGCTTTTGCGCTTTGATTTGAATGAAAGAGTGGAGATGAAAATCTTTTAGTATTACTGGTTATGCATATCAGGTCCTTGGCTTGAACTTGATTTCTTTTTCTAGTTACTGGGGCATTCAGCATTGTGGAAATGCTATACAGATCAAATCTTCTTGCCATAGTTGGAGCTGGTGAACAGGTTTTCCTTCACATTACTCATTGTTTTCATCATTGTTATCGTTACTGGGATTATATTTTCACGTGCCAGCATGCATCTTTTTCCACCAGCCATCTTTATCTCCAAGGCGATTATGTTTGTTCAATACCATAAGTGGAGCTGCAATCAGGGAACTCAACTTCTTGACATCCATTTTGGCAGTTCGTGTAAATAGGAAAAGGTAAATACTTGGTGGTTGCATGAACTTTATTTGTCTGTTCTGACATCATGTGTTTCTACTAATATACGTGCTATATCCAGCGGCGAATTTACATGTAGTCATAG